CATTTTTTTCAATTTGGGTGTATCCTTAGGGATGTCTCGTTTGTCCCTCCGGAGTCCTGGCGATCGATCCTCTGCTCTACCCTTAGATAGAAAATAACTCATAGACTCTTTTTCCTCGGGGAAATACAATACAACCTGCGGCGACGCAAACCACCTCCCCTGTCTTCCTTCTGGGTACTGATATCGAACCGGGCATAGTAGAGCCACCAACTTCTCTAGTTGGTCTATAGCAAGGTATAGACAAGGCAAACCAACAGAACGACAAACGGATCCCCACCCGCCTTCCCTCCCCCACAAACGCCAAAGTCCCCTCCCCCGCACTGCCAACCATCATCCAAATCCGCTCTCCGACATCTCTGACACCATGCATGTCCCCTACCCGCATACAAGTAGATACCCCCAACGGGAAAAAATCAAAGCAAGCTAGACCAGTGACATAACAATGCCACAGCGTCAGCGGCTTGCTTGCCAACGCCAACAGCCCCGCGATGCTGTGCTGTAAGGTTGGCTAAACGAGCAACGAGCCGTCCCTTGCATTACCTGAAGTCCTGCCTCTTGTACTGTACAGTAAAGGCGCTGCCAGGAGAGATGGATATGTAGGTCTTCACATGAGAGAGTATTTTTTGGTATCGGATAGAGAGAGACTCTGGAGGTTCAGGGCGGGGGGTTTATTTGTAGCACTGAAGAAGAAGTGGGCGAGGAAGTAGAAGAGAAACAGAACAGTGAGGATGGAATGCGCGCTCATTGTGACCCCGTATTCCGCCGTGATACACATCTTTACTGTTTTGATGAACGTGCAGATGGGGAGGGACATGGCCTCTGTAGCAATCATTGCCGGGCATGAGCTAATAATCTTTTATGCTTAGTTTGAGAGGGTGAGGCATTGTGTTCGGTCCACAGTTTGGAGGCTCTTGTCTTGCGGAGAGAGCGAATGGGAAAGTGCAGATCCAGTAAGGGTAAGGAACCTTGTAGGTACTGTACTGTACAGTCCAGCCTATGTATGCAGACGTTTTGGGGAACGCCGGGAACCTTCTGGTAATTCTACCGATTGGACCACGGGCTCGTCTTTTATTCTACTGGCTCCCGGGGTATCATGGATGCGAGACGGGGCTGCTCGGTTAGATGTAGACTGTAGATAATACACAATCATATTACAGTTTCCGGGTCATCCTAGACTAAAAAAGACCACTAGGGGATATGTATTTCAGATGTGAAGCAGATGATTAAGAGATTAGAGGCATGCCAGAGGCCCATAGATTTCACGAAAAGCACCGTCAATCAGGTGTAAATACTCTGTTCGCCTTTCATCAGTATACCATTCATATTGTGACCCATGGGAACAAGCTCACCTCGGTGATTTGGTTCACCTGCAAACCAGGTTCGGCCATATTCGCATCCTTCAAAAAGTCCAACGGCATCCAAACCAGATGTCCCTTGATCTTGTCGAGCTTCTCGCGAGTGTCCTGGATGGGTTGGTAGGGGTCAAACAAATGGCCCTGCTTGATGCCTTTAGGAACGAAGTGATCGTAATCCTCAAATGTGAGGATCTTGTCATCGGGATCCGCGCGGAAGAGCATCCGGTATATGTCGGTGTTGACGGTAGCTTGGTTGGTCCACATCTCCCACAGTGCGTCATTCATGGGATCTGTGACAAAGTCATTCTCAGGCCCCTCGAGAATCTGATTCATGCACGCGTACGGGGGCTGGGCGTTGGGGTGCTGCGAGGCATCGTATTCCTGGCAGGGAAGCAGGCCGAGGTGTTCGCGCCACAGCTGGCGACGCAGGGTTGCCGCAAGGCGGGCGGCCTTGTATGGCTGACCGTCCATGGTACTATCGATGAAGTCCTGGTCTTCAACAACGATGGCTAACTCGCTGTCGTGGTAGCCGCATTGAGACTGTGCGAGATGGATTAGTTGGCCTGCTCGCAGGGGCTAATGTAGGTAGCTGCAAGGGGAGAATGATAAAGACTTACCCGATCGTTGATATTGGCGCTTCCACAAATAGCAATTCTGTCATCGACAATGCACACCTTGCCGTGCACATAAAGTTCCTCTTGGACAATGTTGTCTATCTCAGCGTCGGGCTCGCCATCCCAAGGCTCGTCAGACATTCTACCGCCGTTGAGCATCGTTGTGTGCGCCACGGTGTCACAGCCTTTCAAGCCCTCTTTCTCCCTATGACGTTCGACCTGCTCTTCGTATTTGCGCAACTGCTCAATCCGCGCCTCCTTCTCCTGTTGCGCGTTATCATATCCAACTTCATGCCTGTCTCCTTCGTTGTCAATAGCAGGATGAACACTATCGCTCATGATAGACTCGGCTATTCCACGTTGGATGTCATTGTACGTGACGCCGGCCTCCTTTTCCAAACTTTCGAGAGCGGGAGTCTTGTTGATACGGTCATAAGCCCGTAGATTGAACAAGAAGACGTGCTCTGCTCATGTTAGACATGATTTCCCACATTAGGTGTGGTTCGACTTACGTCTCGGGTCTACACCCTGAGCAGAGATCTGCCCGAAAATGGAGTGCTCGCCGCGATGAATCGACTTGTACTGGTAATCCATGATCGCGCGTGTGCCGGTCGCGGCGTTTTGTCGCAGATCTCCTGCGAATCCGGGAATAGCGGGGATGACGATGATCACGCGAAACTTCCTTCCTTCCTTGCCCGCTCGGACGACTGCATCGACGATTGACCGCCCGATTGTGTTCAGGATGGGCTTCTGCTGGTCTCCAGTAGCCGTGACTAGAAACTATCAGTATATGCAGGAATGAGACTAGATCAAGCGGAGTTATCTCACTAAAGAACTGGTTCTCGATGTAGACGAAATGCTGGGCCTGGCTGATAACCTCCTTGTAGGCGTTCTGAATACTGTGCTCGGGTAGGATGCCGCTACTCCAATCAGCGCTGCTGCGCACGATCTGTGCCCGCGCAAATCCCTGCTTGCCAAGGGGCTTCGTTTCGAGAGGCTTCAGGGGGTGTTGCACGTAGTCGCCGCAAGGGTATTTTGGGCGTTGTACTCCCACCAGATCCTCGTCCTCCCCGGTGCGACCCTCCAGCATAAGCCAATCAACGCCATGGTCACGTTTATACTTGTCCCTTTTGATGAAGTTCCAGCGAAGAACAAAGTGCTCTGCGATGTCGTACACACAGTCACCCATCACACCCATGGCGACGTCATGCCAAGGCATCCGACCGTATTCCGCTTTGCTGAGCTCGTTCTGCTGCCAGTCTTGCACACTCTGGAAATCCATGATCCGATTGTTGTTGAATTCTTGTCCGGGGAAAATTTCGTCTTCCAGATTGGAAGGGTGAACATCGGCTAGAGGGTGCTGATGAGCATCCCATCTTCCGAAGCACAGATCAATACCACCAATAAACGCCAACGCATAATCAATGACAAGAAACTTCTCATGATGTGCCTAACAGATTGATGGTCAATCTAAGTGTGGGCGCATGCGCGGGTGCAGACGTACCCAGTACAGAGTCATGTCTGCAGCGTTCTCGAAGATGTTATGATCCGGATGTCTGAGGACTTTAATGTTGCCGTAGCCGGGCGAGCCCTCGGGACATAGTGCGCGCAAAGCATGCTTCGTATGAGCCGAATTGCAGGTCAATGCTTGATTCACCTATTTACTTCGCGTCAGCGACTGTGCAACTGTGCAACCGAGGCGGCAACCGGACCTCCTTATACACAATGACGTAGATCTTGACCCCGGCCTCTGCACGGCGCTTGAGGACCTGATCCAGTCGCCATTCCTGATGCGCATACGCAGGCCGGCGGAGGAAGAGCTCTGGAGAGAGCCACCAGTCGGCTATGTAGATGACCTCCTTGGCCTCTTCCAGAGCAATGGAGACGGCCCACATATAGTCGAGCGCATCAACATACCACTTGACCCGGTTACCTTCGCGGATGGGGGCGAAGGATTGAAACCGGTTGGACTCGGAAATGGCGGTTCTTTTGCGGTCCGTCTCCTGTTCGTGCGCTTCATCATGGCGATGATTGGGGTTGATGATGTTGAAGAATTTGCCGACTTTGTGCTTGAAATGAGAGGCCTTTGCCTCAAAACTCTCAATGTGGGTGTCTGTTTTCCCAACGGCTTATTAGTCGAATCCACCGAGGGAGAGAGAAGCTTAACCTTTGAGATGATCCTCCAAGTGATCGATTTTAGACTTCAGCTTCTCCATCGTGACTCAGCGCGATAGATTTATAGTAGATTTTAAGTGATGAGAAGGGGCAGGGGAAATCTGCAGCCGGGTCTGTCAACTGCAGCTGGTGGGAGGAAAAAGAATGGGGAAAAGAAAGAGGGGAGAGGAGGGGGGGGGGGGGGGGTTAGGGGATCCACCGACGATCGGAAATCAATCAGAAGATAACGACTGTGGACTGTGTAAAAAGGTTTCTGCCTGGGAACAGTTTCCAGATCCGCCAAGGCGATCGGCATGCGGGCAGGGACCAGTGGGAGAGATTAAAGTGAGGTAATAATATCAGAATCTAATATGGAGACGCGGAAATGCAATCAAAAGCCAGCCCTGAGTCCAGGGCGCAACAAACCGTGAGTGGGGTGATGTCATTGCTCTCCGCCTTATCCAGCCTTGTTGCGGCCTCAGGTTGAATTGGCCCAGAAAGGCAGGCATAGAACTGATCTTCTCCCTTTTTGACTATGGCCCATCAATTTACTCTTCTCTGACTTCTTTGACACTTACCACCTACCTCATATTCAGAACTGGACCAAGTGGATTCAGTGTACATGAGTAAAATACTCATAGTTGGTCCACGCTAGACTAAGTCCTCCCCCTGTCGACCTAAAGCACTCCTCCTGCATGTTCCTGTCGCGTGTCAGTGGATTTGCCTCGGATAGTCTCCACCCACATCCACGGTGTGCTTCCATGGGAGCCCCCTCCTGCACATTTCATCATCAGCAGCATCATCGTTATTTTCTTTCTTTGATGTCTTACACATGACCCCAACTCCCCAACTCCCCTCCTTCGTTGGCAGTGACACCATGAGCGCATCATGCAATATCTACAAGGATGATATCGACTTCACCGCCCTTGCCCTGCAGTCCCCGGAATTCGCAAAGTAGTACGTTCCCCATCCAAGCCACTTGATTCGTCATGAAATGACCGGCAAAAAAAGCTCATAAGTCCCAAATTTAGTCTTAAATCTAACGGGCAATTGGACTTTACCGACCCCGATGCCGTGAGGTGGGCCCTAATGCTACCAAAGACACTCTAAACACTCTCAAGCCGCGAGCTAACGAACATAGACAATTGACCAAGAGTCTGTTACAGCGAGATTTCGGCCTGAAGGTGAACATTCCGGACAAGAGACTTTGCCCTCCGGTATGCAAATCCCGAACAATTCCAGATCGTCGACAACTGTGACCAGCTCGCTAATTATGCAGTACAGGTTCCGAACAGGTATAGAAGAAAGACACGCGATCATTAGTAGGCTGCTGCACATGGGTTTTAACCGTTCATAGGCTGAACTATATCCTCTGGCTGCAAGATCTCCTCGATACCACGGGAGACAAGTACCAGGGTAGCTACGACGCCGATCGGAAAGTCGTCGGACTTGACATGTACGTCGCACATTATAATCCCACAGATCAAGCATTGATCGTGAAACCACAGCGGGACAGGATGTTGCAGCATCTACCCTTTATTAGGCTGCTCCATGCGGCCTGGCTGGAGCTTTTTTGCTACAGGTAAGTCCTTTTGCGGAGCCACAAGCCCATGCGGATTTCACTCACACTATGTAGATATTGACGAAGGCAATATCGAGTCGTCGCGAGCAAACGTAATCGCCAATGGGCTTGACTCGCGAATTACGGTTGTTAGAACAAATTCAGAGGAGAAGCTCATTCCATTGGACACGAAACTCAAAGTCGATAGGTCTGTTCAACAGGCCCTTGTTGTATCTGCTCTGCCTCACACAACAAAGACTAGACTTCACCATGTGCAATCCTCCCTTCTACGCTTCTCAAGATGAGATGGTAGCATCTGCCGAAGCCAAGGACAGGCCACCCTTCTCGGTATGAGCGTTGACCTCCGCGATTCAAATCATTCAACCACTTACGCAAACCCCCCAGGCATGCACAGGTGCAGAAGTCGAGATGGTAACAGCAGGTGGAGAAGTCGCTTTCATCTCCCGAATGATCGAAGAAAGTCTGCAGCTGCGCAACAAGGTATTTTGGTACACATCGATGTGCGGCAAGCTGAGCAGCATCTCCGTCCTCATCGAGAAGTTGATTGAGCATGGCAACAACAACTACGCCGTGACAGAGTTTGTCCAGGGTAACAAGACCAAGCGATGGGCCCTAGCCTGGTCATGGACCGATATCCGTCCGAGAGCGGTATGTGCCCATATCTGTGCATAGAGGGAGTCTGTCCCCAACCCTGACGGATAAACCAGGCCGTAGCCCGAGGCATCCCTACGATCCCGAAACACCTTCTCCCATTCCCTTCCGAATATACGTTCACAGCCACGACCGAGTCAATCGATGAGGTGGCTACCACCGTTGACGCAGAGCTAGGCGCGCTCCCCCTCCAGTGGCTCTGGCGCAAGAGCCTCGCCACAGGCGTGGGCTTCGCGATGCAGAACGTTTGGTCCCGTCAAGCCCGCCGCAAGTTGCGCAACCCAGACGCGATGGCCGACCAGCCCCCGGTAGAGGAAAGCAAGGCCGCTCTCGGGTTCAGGGTGCAGTTACAGAAAGAGGTCAGCGACGACAAAGGGGTGAAGGTGATCATTCGGTGGATCAAAGGAACAGACACTGTTCTCTTCGAGAGTTTCTGCGGCATGCTAAAGCGCAAGATCGACAGCAAGCCATGATTTGAATCCCAAACCCCGATACCCCAATGCCCAAATCACAATCAGGTAAATAGGATCAATATTACCTTTGTCTGGCAAAGAAAAAATAACAATGTCTGCTTGAAATTTTCAGATTCGGAAAATGAATAATCGTGGCTTAATAGAAACCTGGTCCGACCTCGGTAACCAGCTTTATAAATGCTTCACACACAACCGCATACACGCAAGCTCTTTCTCTACACATGCATTTGAATCACACAGGATCAATGATCTATGCACTGCCCACCTCAGACTGCAAGGCCTTCAGGCGCTCCCACCCCTCCGAATCCTCCCAGAACTCCTTGCCCTTACCCAGGATACCACGCACGGCACTGCGGGCCTTGAACCGCCAATCCTTAGCCACCAACTCGGCCTCGCCCTCCGCAGCACCCTCCTGACCTTCCTTATCCATGGGACCGTAGCGGGCGTAGCCATCACGGACCAACCGTTCCGTGGCGCGCACGACCTCCAACCACTTCTTCTCGTCGCCCATCTGGAACGCGCCCTGGGTGGAGGACGCGACCGTGGCGCGCCAAGCCTTCTCATGGGCCTCGAACGCCTTGGAGGGCTGGTCGCGCCAGGCCTCGACGCTGGCGACCAACAGCCACATGGGCGCGGAGTGGGTGATGAGGGGCACGACGGCCTGGTCGACGAGCGAGAGAATCTGGCCGGGGACGGTGCCGGAGCGTACGATGCGCTCGGAGGCGGGGTTGCTGTCGTCGATGCGGATGAGCAGGTCCTGGTACTCGTAGGCGCGGACCAGGTGGTCGACCAGCATGCCGAGGATGGGCATGTCGATGCACTTCTCGCCCTTCTTGGAGCCGACGAGCTCGATGAGGCGGCGCTGGGCGGTGACGACGTCGCGGAACGGGGTGAAGGGCGGCGGGATCGAGGCCGCGACCGTCAGCACGTTGTCCCAGATGCGCGCGTCGGTGTGCTTGAGCGAGGCGGCGCGGTGGAGGGCGGCCAGGGCCTCGCGCTTGCGTTTGTACGGGTCCTCCGGGGCGGGAGCCTCGTCGTCGTCGTCGCCGGAGGCTTCCTCCTCGTCGTCGGCGAGAGGGGCCTTGGGCTTGCGGGGTTGTTCGGAGATGACGACGGGGGTTTCTTCGTCGGGCTTGGGGGAGCGGAGAATCGCGGCCGCCAGGTTACTCCAGGCTTCGGCGTCGGTGTCGTCGAGTTGCACGGTGCGGGTGAAGGAGAAGATGGCGTCGTCCCAGCGGTGGAGCTCGAGCTGGACGCAGCCCAGCGCGAACCAGGCGCTGTGGTTGAGACGGTTGATGTCTAAGCTCTTGCGGTAGGCTTCTTCGGCCTTCTCGAGGGCCGGGGGCTTCAGGGTGAGGTAGTGGCGGGCCAGGGACCGCTGAGCACGCGCGTATCGCTGGTTCGATACCTCCCAGGCCCGCTCGTACATGCCGGCGTCGGTGTCGATGTCACCCAGGATACAGAGGAGGCGAGGCGCATCGGCGGGCAGGGGAGACAGCTCCGGTCCTTCGAACCTCTCGCTGTCATCATCGGGATCCTGACCCGTTGGTTGGTAGAGCTGCCGGCGGACCATCTGGCGGGCCTTGTCCTCCCTCTCCGTTGCGGCGTAGCAGAGTGCAGCCTCAGCCCACATCTGGAGACGCTCGTAGATGTCAAGGGCGGTCCGCAGACCTCCAAGGTTGACCCACCGAGTTGCAAGCTCGGCCTCCAGGTCCCAGCGGGTGGAGAAGTTCATGAGCCACACGTATTGCAATCTCTCGGCGGCCGAGGCGGACTCGGATTTCTCGGGGCGCGGCAGGAAGGTCGTGGGCTCATCGACGGCAATGCCGGCTTGTTCATCAGAGGTGGCGGTGTCGGCGATGACCTGATCCACGAGAGCTTGCATCTGCAGCACAGATCTCTCGACGGTTCTGGATCGGTGGCCCTCGACGCGACTACGCACCAACAAACCCTGAGTGTAGATCTGCCAGTTCGAGCTGCCACCTTCTAAGACACGGGTAGCGTAGGGCGCTGTCTCCTCGCGGGTGATGCCGTTCTCCGGTGCGGTGTTGGTGATAGCCGATGCGAAGGCAAGAAGAATGGCGGAGTCAATGGGTTCGAGTTTCGGCTGGTCGCCCGGATCAAGGGCAGCCAATGCCGGTGGAAGTGCCGCTTCATCCTGCACAGTCACCGGCTTGTCTTGAGATTCTTCTCCCTCGGCCTTGGCGTCGGCCTTAGCGAAGGAGATAGATTCCAACAGGGTATCGTCGTTGAGATCAAGGTTCTTCGGGCCCGAGGCGTTCTCGCCCTTGTTGTCCTCCGACGTCGTTTCGGCGCTCTTAGCCAGAATCACGAGCTGACTGACATCGCGTTCCTGGAACTTGGTTCTCTTGCCCAATTTACCGGTCAAAGCAAACTCGAACTTCCGTTCTTTGGCGGCCTGCTCGAGATCTGCGCGGGCCTTGGCGTCGAAGCCGTGGACGGTGTGGATAGTGGCTCTCTCGAGCAAAAAGCTTCCCTTCTCCTGCGCAGTGCACTGAGCACCCAAGACCACCTTGCTAATGTCATCGAGCTCGTTGTAGATCGCATCCTGCAGGGTACCAGTGACCTCCGACAGCATCTTCTGGTGGAGAAAATTGACGCGGAGTCGTGCCGTCCGGGTCACCAGCGGGCTGCCGTTCGTCACCAGGACATCAGTATCGGCCAGAATGGCCTTGGCGACCGCAAACAGCTCGACGTTGGGGGTCAGCTTGTATGCTGCCTCACCGTCGACGGAGAGGTTACGGATGACATGGGCACGAACGGCTCGGAGGGTGACTGCGTCGGGCCGCAGGGCAGCGGGAATGATGGTGTCGGCGGGGCTGTAGGTCAAAGGAGGGCCCGTAACGTTGGATTGCAGGAATGCGAAGAGAGCAGCCAGGGCAATGTGAAGCAACTGCGAGCGTTGTTGGTCGGAAGTCAAGCCCTCCACGGGTGATTGCGAGACCGCCTGCACTTTCTCGACCAGAAAGCTGGTATAGGATACCTCGCCTTTGGCGATGCGATCTAGAGCACTCTCATCCGCATTGTGTCCAAAGACCTCCTTTGCGAGCGGCAGTTGCAGTATAGGAATGATTTCGGCGTCTGCGAGCGAAATGGGGTCGTAACGGTCCCGCACTGATGACGTCTCGTCGAAAGACGTGTTCAAGAACGCGGGGAGGGATTCGGTGGTGTCAGTCATGATGATTGCTCAATTGAAGGACTGTGACTTGAGCAAAGGGAAGGTGGGCGCGGGAGCCTGATCCGGAAATGATCAATGGTAGTCGCAAGGCGGGATTTCAGGTACGAATGATTGTTAATCAAGATAAAACAGAGCAGGCTCTTCACATTAGCAATTCGTTAGGTATTATAGAAAAATCTCGGGAAAGAATCAATCGAAGACTCATGCTATGAGTTCTTGACGATCTGGGGACCACCGCAACTGAGCCAACTTCCCAGCAAGACAATTTCTAAAGTGGCTAGAGGGCAGAGTCAGACCAAAGTGGGAAAAAACGAAGCGGGATGGCGGGGGTTTTTTTTTCTGCCGACTCTATCGATAAGGATAGCTCGGGCGGTGACAGTACAAATGGACTTGGTCGTGGCAATTAGACTATCTACCTAACCCAATCGGCCAAACACCACCTACGGCGCCAGGACCACGTCCTTGATCATTCCAGCAGCAGCACAGTTCATACATGAGTACATACACCACGCTCGACTTTGAGCTAGCTCACTGCCCAGGCACCTTAGCATGCTCCTTGAGGATCCTATTCAGCCCCTCCCGCTTCACACATTCATCGAAATGGAAGCTGTGAGCCAGCTCGTCCAGCTCCTTCTCATCCAGCCCCCGGAACAACTCCGCGAACTCCTCCACAAAACTCGCCGCCAGGAACGTCTGAAAGACCGCCCGCAGCACATGGCGTTCCGTGCCCCACGGCGTGGGGTAGGCGTCCTTGGCCCGCGGCTGGACCTTGTCAATCCAGTCCACCAGCGGCTTCAGGGCCGCGGCGGGCTCCGGGTGCGGGAACCGGCCCCAGGCGTCGAGCCAGAGCCGGCTCTTCTTGTCCAGGAACGGCTGGATGCGTTGGTTCCACTTGCTGCTGGGGTTCGTGTGGATCATGCCCTGCAGGCCGATGTCCTTGTACAGCCAGATCGACCAGTGGATCTTGTACTTGTCGTAGATGCGCAGCTGCTCGCCGAGCAGGTTGTAGCGCTCCTCGTTGATCGTGTCGGCCTCGACCTCGACGCGCGGGTTCTCGTAGACGGGGCCGAACTCCCCGTTCCAGATGGCCGTGCCATGCTGGTTCATGAACTCGACTTTGCGGAGGTACGACCGCTCGAGGTGCTGCTTTTGCTCCGGTGTGCCCTTGTACCGTTGCCCCGTGGGAAAGCCCATGGACTAGCGAGAGAGAGAGCAGTATCAGATAAACGAACGCGAAGCCCAACCCTCGATGTACAATGTCAACAAAAGACTCACCGCGTAATCATGGATGGAGTAAACGCAATTCGGAAGAACCTTGTCGAAGCCCTTCCACTCCATCGAAAAGGTATTACCATCCAGCCAGAGGATGTGATCCGGATCGACCTGCCGAATCGCCTTCTCGATCCTCTCGTAGAACGCCGGGAGGCGAACATGCTCTGGATCGCAGGGCTCATTGAGGGGGTTGTACCCAGCAACCCACGGGTTTGCCTTATACCTCGCCGCGATCTGCTCCCATAGCCACACCGTCCGATCCTGGTGGTCTTTGTAGTCCCAGAAGGCGGCGTAGCTGGTGGGGTTATCCGCGTGCCAGTCGGGGTTCTGTCCGCCAGGAGTAGTGTGCATGTCGAGAATCGTGTAGATCTTCTCTTTGGCACACTGTCGTCCAGCGCAGAAACACACTCGTCAGTCAGCCCTCCCACACACTCTCTACATGTGGCCAAGGGAACGGCCGAGATCCCATAACTTACAAGATCAATGACCCGATCCAAATGTTTGAAGCCGCTTTCTTTCAAGACTCGTG